GGCATCTGAATGTCGTCCGCAACCTTAGAGCGTCAGCCCGTGAAGGGTGTTGGTGCTTTAGGGTTGCCGGGCAGCGACAGAGATGCGCACAGAGGGGCGGGCGGGGGAATGGACACACAGACGACTGCTTACCCATCACACCCACTCGTGTTGACGGATTGACGCAGTCTGCGTGGGAATGAGAGAGAGAGAGAGATATGGGACGGGCACACGAGAGTAGAGGAAGGTTAGTCTCGTTCGGTGAGCCTGCCATTCGGTCCGCTGTTTGGCTGCCTGTTGGTGTCAGTCATGGTGCACTCGGCTGTGAGTCATGTGTGTCTGTCTGTCGGTGTGACTGAGTGGGGGCGATGATGTGCGCTGAAGGGAGAAGGATCGGCCGATGCGCTGACCCCTTCCCAATTAGTACTGACTGCCTGGCCTTAGCTGACATCTCTCTGTCTCTCCCTTTGTTTCTCTCTCGTGGCCCTTTTGCGTGTGGGTGTCGGTCGTCGACTGACGGACGACAGACAGCCGGGCAACACGAGAGCTCATTATGCGGCGGTGTGCGGCGGTCTGATGATGCGCTTTGGTGTCTGCGAGCAATGGTACACCGACAGACACACAGAGAGGGAGGGACACACAGACGGACAGAGAGGTAGGGGCGGCCGATGACGTCTGTGTGTCTGTCTGTGTGTGTGTGTCAGGTGTGGTCGGTGTGCTGATTCACTCGCTGGAACAAAGCCACACGACGGCCGAGCGGCTGCCGCTGTGAGATCGGCCGATGAGTCGACGAGCTGATGTCAGTGAACTGACTGTCTGTCTCTCTGCCGCGTGGACGGCATCGATGGACTGACGGCTGTCGTGTTTATGAGAGTGTGTTGTGTTGTGGGGCTTTGCGTGTCGGTCGGTCTGGCTGCCATTGTCATTGCTCTGTCACCTCCCACTCCTCGGCCGTCAGCTGCCATGAGTGTGTCGGCTGATGAGTGGGGGGCGGGGGAGAGATGACAGACAGACAGACAGACAGAGAGGGAGGATTGGCTGGCTGGCTGCACAAAGGAATCGCTGTGTGGCGTGGCGGTGGCCGTCTGTCTGTGCGAGAGGTGTGTTGGACGGCTGCTCGCGAGAGTGTGTTGATCTCTCGTCGATGCATCCGTCACACACGGCCGGCTCACAGACAGACAGGCCGACACACACATACTGATATCTCTATCTGTTCGCCTGAGAGGAAGAGAGTCTTGTGGTTCTTCCTTCCTCTCCCTCTCTGTGAGCATCTGTGTTGTCGTCCAGTAACCACAGAGCGTCAGCCCACGAAGGGTGTTGGTGCTTTGGGGTTGCCGGGCGGTGACAGAGATGCGCACACAGGGGCGGGGGAGGGAATGGACACACACACGACTGCTGACCCATCACACCAAATGAGGCGGTGGATGGGTCCTTTTGCCAACCGTCCTGACGTCGATGTGTTTTGATATCTGCGACACAGACAGACAGACAGACAGACTGGCGGGCCGACACACACATAGCCTACCTGTTGGCCTGGCCTGTTGTGGCCAGCTGTGTTCTGTTTGACAACGAGGTGGTTTGTGTCCGTAGGGGACAGACAGACTGACATAAATGGGGATGGATGGATGGATCTCATGTGACGCTGGCTGGGGTGGGTGGGTGCTGACGCAAAGTGAGAGAGAGACGTCGGTTTGGTTTGCCTGCGTATGTTGGTGTTGGCGCCGCCACCTCGCGCGCAGATAGTTTCTTGCCAAATGGCTACCTGTTGATGTATGTCGATATGAACGCAATGCGAAGATCTGTTTTGTGTGTGATGGCCCACCACACAGACAGACAGACAGACAGACACCGGCGTGTGGATGTTCTCTTCTGTGCCTCTCTGTCACTTTGCTGTCACTTCCCTCGTCTGCCGGTGTGTGATCTGCCTCTTCCTTACGGCCATATGTGTGTTGATGTCATGGCTCCAATGTGATAAGTGGGATACACACCGAGAGACAGACAGACAGACAGACAGCCGAGAGAGATGGTGCTTCAAATCGGTTTTCCTGCGTCGCACCTGTGAAGTCGTCGGGTAACGTGAGAGCATCAGCCCGTGTCCGGCGTCGGTGCTTTTGGGCTGCCGGGCGGTCACACAGGTGCACACAAAGGGGAGGGGTGCATGTCGGCCGACACGGGGTCATCAGCGGCCTTGTGTGTGTCGCTGTCATGGCTCAAATGTGATCGGTGGGACACAGACAGACAGACAGACAGATAGACAGACAGGGAGGAGTGGCTGGCT